GCGGGGCCCCTCCTGTGGGCGGCCCGGTGGCGAGGCTGCCGGCCGCTGCAGAGAGGCGGGACCCACGGTCCAGACGCCGCCCCGCCGGGTCCGTGCTGGCGCGGTCCGCTCGTCGTCAGCGGGGCCTTGCGTTCACAGCTCAGGTGGGCAGACCCAGGGCCCCAGGCCCAGAGCCTCGCGGGCGCCCAGTGCTCTCGTCCCCCATCTGCCCAGCCGGCCAGGACCCCCAGTGGAGGAAAAGGTGCAAGTGGCTATAGGACGTGGCCAGCCTCACCCCCAGCACCAGGCTTGACTGCCCTCACAGGGCCGCCAGCCAGCACCGCAGTGCCCACCCCACCCCTCCACCACAGGCGGCGGTGCCGCCCGCCCCAGGGGCCTGCCTGCCCTGCGCGGCACGCACGCCACGCCCCGCCCAGCCCGCAGTCCTGCCTGCCTACCCAAGGAGGAGGTCGCAGAGCCTCGACCTCCCAGGGTCTGCCCTTTGCCCCTCTGCCCCCCACAAACCCGCCGTGGAAAGCCATGGGCCCCCTCCCGCCCCGTAACTAAGCAGCACAATAACCGACTTAGCGAATTCAGGTAGAAGGAACGTTAGGTAGCACCTATTTTGTACTGGTTCTACAAGTAGGGCCCGAGGTGCGAGCCTCGGGTGGGGGCTGCGGCCGCCGGCCCGCCCTGCCCCCACCCTGCCTGCGCCCGCGCCTTGTACATACTCCCACCCGGAACAGGCCGGGATTTTTACTCGGGCTGCGCCCTTCTTCCGCCCCCGTTTGGGGCTGGGCCGGCCGGACAGACGGACGGACGGACAGACCTCCTTCCTAAGCACAATAGCACCAGCTCCCCGGAGCGCCGCACCTCCACGAGGAGAATAAATGCCACTCTTGATAGAATTCGGAGTGTCGGCTGTTGTGTCTTGGGCTCCCCACTCTGCTGGGCTGTCTGGGGTGTTTTCCTGGCCCCTGACTGCAGGCCTGCTGCAAACCCAGCGCTGACAGTCTCAGCCCAGCGCAGCCAGTGGGCCCTGGGGACCCTCTGTGGCCTCTCATGTTCTCCTCTTCCACTGGGGTGGCAGCTCTGCAGGGAGGGCCAGGAGCACAGGTCTGAGTGCAGGACTCGACTTGGGTACAGCCATGCGCTGTAGCCCACAGCCAGTCTCGGCCCAGAGGCTGCCTCTACTCCCATCTCCCTGCAGGGCCTCTGCTGCCAGGCAGGTCTGACAGCCACAAGCCAGCCTGCTACTGCTGTTGGAGGGGCCTGCTGCCCACATCCTGACTCCTGACTCCTGGAGTACCTACCCCACTGTTCTAAGAGGTCTCCATGGACAGCTGGGCTGGGCCAGTTCCAGGCAGAAGAGAGGCTCCAGATGCGAGAATGTAGGGACTGAAGGCAGGGGCTCCTAGTCGGCAGCAGCCTCTGCTGACCAGGCACCACTGAGCTGAGAGGCCCAACGCCTTTGGCACATGTGGGCAAACCAGACCCACCCGAGGGCCAGGGCAGCTCCTGCAGGGCTGGGGAGTCCTACAGCAGGTCCTGTCCTCTGTGCCTGCTGCTTGAGGGCAGCCATGCGGACGGTGCCCCTTCTAGGGAGCACTCTCCCTACCACCCTCAGGAGTGAGGGGCTGCTGGCCCTGTAGGCCTCAATGGCCAGGCCCCCAGAAGAGAGCCTTACCCTCCCGTCTTCTGCCCTGTGTTGGTCATCATTGCAGTAACTGCAGAGGAGGACTCTGAGCCTCAGGGAAAGGAACAGCTTGGCCAAAGACTAAGGGCCCTGGGGGCGCTGCCATAGCCCTGCCCCAACACTCCACCCAGCGTTTGACTAGAGCCACTCTGCCAGGCAGCAATGCCGGGGGTGGGGGGAGGCTGAGTGGGGCAGCTTCCTGGTGGGGACTGCTGTCTCTGCTTCGGGGTTCAGATGGGCAGTGGGGATGGCAGGCTGGAGGTGGCCTCCTGAGTCCTGCCATTTTCCCTTGGCTATCCCTGGACTCACACTGCATGACAGAATGGGTGGCCTGGCTGTAGGCCACCACTGCCACCCTGCAGGCAGCCACTGCCATCCTGTGGACCACCACTGCCACCTGCTGGCCACCACTGCCACCCACTGGCCACTACTGCCACCAGCAGGACATGCCTCTCAGGGTCCCCTCCACCTGTCCACAGCTGAGGCCCTGGGGTCATCCTGAGGCCCTTGCTATGCCCAACCCCCTCTCAGCCCTTCATCCTACCAGACCTGTAAGGCTCCCAGCCAGGCCTCAGGCCCCCTGGTGTGTTGCTGTCGCCTCACCCCTGCAGGAAGATCTGCATGGTGCTTTTTTCTTTTTCTTTTTTTTTTTTGAGAGCTTTTTGCTATAGGGCTAGTGCACTCACCAGACAGACAGACATAGAGACAGAAAGCGAGAAATCACCCCCCAAGGGGGATGGTCACACCGCAATCCCTTCTCCTCCATTCTCCTCTCGGGATCTTGGGCACACACGCACACGCGCCCGACATGCGTTTTTAAGCCACTGGGTCTGGGATGCGAACCACGGTCGACTACGTGGGAGTCCAGCGACATAGCCATTATGCTAACTGCTGGTTCCTTTCTTTCCCTTTTGAGAGGATTTTGCTATAGGACATGTGCTGGAGAGACAGAGACAGACAGTGAGAAGTCACCCCCTGGAGATGGCCACATTGCAATCCCTTCTCCTCCATTCTCTTAGGATCTTGGGCACACACACACATGTGCCAGGCGTGAGTTTTAGGTCATTGGGTCTGGAACTCAAACCACCCCCGCCGAGGCTGGTCCCCGGCAGCCTAGGAGTTCAGTGACGTAACCATTATGCCATCTGCTGGTCTCTGCATGGTGCTTTTTTCATCGATCACACTACACATACTTTTGGTTCAGCTTAAAAAACATGCTAGGCATGGGAACCAGCAGTTAGCGTAATGGCTGTGTCGCTGGACTGCCACGTAGTCGACCACGGTTCGCGTCCCGGACCCAGTGGCTTAAAACTCACACCGGGCGCGTGTGCGTGCGTGCCCAAGATCCCGAGAGGAGAATGGAGGAGAAGGGATTGCGGTGTGATTATCCCCCCTGGGGGGTGATTTCTCGCTTTCTGTCTCTATGTCTCTGTCTGTCTGTCTGGTGAGCGCACGTGCCCTATAGCAAAATACCTCTCCAAAAAAACCCCAAAAACATGCTGGGCACAAGTGCATGCATGCCCATAATCCCAAGAGGAGGATGAAGGGATTGTGGTGTGACCATCCCCTCTGAGTGATTTCCTCTTTTTTACAACTATTACTTATTATTTATTTTTAAAGCTTTTATTATTTATTTATTTTTAGAGAGATTTTTTGCTATAGGGTGCATACACTTGCTGGAGAGACAGAAAGACAGAAACTAAGAAATCATCCCCCAGGGGGATGGCCATGCCATAATCCCTTCTCCTCTTAGAATCTTGGGCACATGAATGTGCCCGGTGTGAGTTTCAAGTTGCCAGGCCTAGGACTTGAACCGTGATCCACCACATGGGAATCCAGTGATGTAACCGTTACACCATCTCTGGTCCCAATTTATTATTATTTTAAAATAATTATTCTATTTAACTTTATTTATTTATTAACCCTACCAGAGAAAGACAGAGTGAGAGTGAGCAAGAGAGAGTGAGCGAGAGAAAGCCTCCAGGTCTGGGACTTGAACTGTAGTCAGCCATGTGGGAGTCCAACACCTTTAACCACCATGCCACCTGCTGGCCTGGAGGTGATTTCTTACTTTCCCTCTCTCTGGGTCTCTCTGTCGAGCTCACACACACTATGACAAAAATCTAAAATAAATAAAAGAGGGGCTTCTGAGCCTACTTGGCCCCCAGGGCTGAGTGGGTCCACTGCAGAAGGAGCTTCTCAGGCAGCCGAGGCTGAGTCCTCAGGAACCCTTGGGCCCTAGGTCCAGGGTACTCACACCAAATGCCCTATGCAAGACACGTTCCAGGGAGCTGCCAGGTGGCATGGTGGTTGAGGTGTTGGACTTCCACATGACTGACCATGGTTCAAGACCTGGAGGAGTCAGCAGGTGGCATGGTGGTTAAGGGCACTGGACTCCCACATGGTTGACTGCAGTTCAAGTCCCAGACCTAGTGGCTTGCTTTCTCACTTTCCCTCTCTCTCTCTCTCTTTCACTCTGTCCCTCTCTGCGCAAATGAAAAAAAAAAAAAGTTAAATAAATAAAAAATAATTCTTTTAAAAGCAAAAAGCAACCTGGATCTAGCAGCCCAAAAATCACGACAAATAATAATTTGATAAATAAATAGATGTTAAAATAAAACGAACAAACCAACCAAAAAAGAGGCCTGCAGGTGGTGTGGTGGTTAAAGGCATCCTACTCCCACTCAAACTCCTGACTGCAGTGTGAGTCCCAGACCTGGCGGCGTGCTTTCTCACTTTCTCTCTCTGTCTCTCTCTGGTCAAATTAAAAAATAATGATAATAAATAAATAAATAACTCTTATTTATTTATTTTTTTAAAAGGACATGTTGCAGGGTAGGTGAAGAAGTTCCCCTGTGCACTGTGTTTTGGTTGACTGGTTACTTCATCAACACCTGGCAATTGTACAGAAGTCTCTGGGTCCTGAGCCACCTGGAGCCCCAGGCTCCTGACTCCCTGATCAGGCTGGCCTGGGTTGGAAACCCAAGGCCTCTGCAAATTGGTGGATGTGGAACTGCTTGTGGGAGGGCAGGCTAGGCAAAGTCACTCATGGGGCTGCTTCCTGGCCCTAATCCTGAGGTGCAGAGGGGCCACGGGGGCACGCGACTGGGTGCTGTGGAGCCTGTGGCATTTCTGTCGATCTTCTGATCGGGTCCTCCTCTGAACTTGCCCCAAATCAAAGAAAAGCAGGTAGGTCCCTGTCTGATAACTAGAGAGCTCTGGAGGCAGACTACGCCTGGGGCGTCCCATACCGCAAGGTGTGCTAGGGAAGCAAAGTGCTGCGTGGCGTGGTGAGCGACACGAGCCCAGGAGAGCGTGTACGGAGTATTTAATATAACCCACATCCCCAAACGACTCACCTGGGCCAGCAACGAAGCCCTGTGTTTACAAAGAAGTGGGATAAGGAGAAGGTGAGAGGTCGGGGAAGCAGCCCTTGGGCTGTCCGCCTGGCTCAGGGGAGCCCTCAGGGCCTTAGACGTCTTCTAAAAGGACACCCAGGATCAGGCTGTGCGCAGTTCCGCCTGCAGCCTGGGCCCGCGGCGACTACGATTCCCAGGGTGCAGTGCGGCGGCGCGCCCGCGGCGACTACGATTCCCAGAGTGCAGGGCGGCAGCGCGCCTACGACTCCCAGGGTGCAGGGCGGCAGCGCGCCTGCGGCGACTACGACTCCCAGGGTGGCGGGCGGGGGGTGCCCGC